AATAATGCAAAGTGACAATAGTAAACACTCAATTTTCAGTTAAAGGCAGTTCATCATTGAGTTCAGTGATGCCATCATCCAGCTCAGTTCAGTTTAAATAGTGTCTGTGCAATCAAGTCGACGATATCATTGGAAATTAAATGGCCAATATCGAAACCAGCAGTTCAATTCCAGGCTGCAGCAATGTGACATTGTGCATAGGACTCAACTAGTTCCTGTGGTCTTGTCCCGGTGGTCGTCTGAGACAAGGTCTTTACAGGGGATCTGTCTCTGGGGCTCATCTAGTTGTCCTGGTCTCCGCTGACATTCAGGGCTGTAGAGGTCATCTCTAGGTGCTGATCCACCATCTGGGCTGGATACGTACTGGATCCGGGTGACTGCAGTGACCATCTGATCTGGATAAAGACTGGATCTGGTGGCTACAGTGACCTTGGAATAAGAAAGAAACAGACTAATATTAGCGTAGATGCCATTCTTCTAACGATGTAGCAAGTACATCGGGTGTTATGAGAAGTGTTCCCGGTTCCGGTTGTCCTAATTAATGCAGCCTAAAAATCCTTCAACAGATTTAAATATTAGAAATGTGTTAGTGTGTTATGTGTTCGTAGGGCCGTTTCTAGGCATAGGCGAGCTAGGCGGTCGCCTAGGGCGCCACCAGCTGAAGGGGCGCCAATGAGTGCACGTACTGGCACTTTTAGCAAGGTTGTGATAAAGAGTGGCATGGTCACCCTGAAATATGACTGCCCCCACTGGATCCCCCAACATTATTGGGCTCCTGGAGCGGGGCCTTTATGAGCTCGGAAGAGTCACGCCTCTCAAGATGGGCTTGTCCAATGAGAAGGGCAGAAATTCCAAGCGGGAGGTTGCAATTGCTGGAGGGTTTTACGACCCTTTGTTTGAGGGCATGGTAATTTGCAAATGTAATTCGCTTGGAGTGTGGATGCACAAAATAATAAAGATTCTTAGAACAATAATATGTTGCATAGGTATAAACATACAATATACACTCTCAATTAGATCATCCAATTACTAATTCATAGATACTAAACATGGTAGGGTTATATATGTAAGGGAAACAGTGATAATTTAGCTTTTGATATTCTAGGTATTATCAAATTGCCAGAGTTTTGAGAATGCAAAGGACGTGGAGGACTATATTGTAATAAGAGCTCGTTCAAATACTGAGGTGCTAAACCATTCAGGGCTTTATAAGTAATAAGCAAGATTTTAAAATCTATATGATGTTTAATAGGGAGCCAGTGCAGTGTTGACAGAACCGGGCTAATATGGTCATACTTCCTGGTTCTAGTAAGAACTCTAGCTGCTGCATTTTGGACCAGCTGGAGTTTGTTTATTAAGCGTGCAGAACAACCACCCAATAAAGCGTTACAATAATCTAACTCTGAGGTCATGAACGCATGAATTAACATTTCTGCATTTGACATTGGGAGCATAGGTCGTAATTTAGATATATTTTTGAGATGGAAAAATGCAGTTTTACAAATGCTAGAAACGTGGCTTTCGAATGAAAGATTGCTATCAAATAGCACACCTAGGTTCCTAACTGATGACGAAGAATTGACTGTCCACACCACACCACAGTCAAATGAAGAATTGACTGTCCACACCATCATTCATTGAACAGCTGATTATATCACAAGTCTGTTAACAACTTCAGACTATTATTGTCTGAAGCTGTTATAATATCGTTTTTGACAAATTTCATAACATTTAACAACATGGTTCTATAAAGTCTGACCAAGCAAAGTTTCAGGAGTGACAACCGCATTAAAATAATGGAATTAATTCCCTAAATTATGGTTTCGGTACGGAAAACAAATCACTGACCAAAATAATATTACAACTCATTATGTTCTGCAATTTTAACTAATCCAACTTCGACATAGGTGTCGTTTTTTGTACGTACTCTGTAGAGCGCTTCTGATGCTGTGTTGGCATGTCCTTTTATTTTAAGCGTCTTTGAGCTTGTTGTTTGTGCATGGCTCACAAAACTATCTGGTTTATGGACTTATTAAAGTGGGAAGTTGTGGGTTGCGACATTTTGGTCATATTTTAAATACCAAGTATTTGGATATATTTCGGTTTATTATGAACTTGTTCTTGTTTGCATTTTTTTCTGCAAGATCTGGCAACACGAATGAGTAAAAGAGTAAAAACTCACCTACTATTACTTGTACCAGAGACACGTCTGGACTGGGCAAAGGATGAAAGAGTGAATCTTCTCATTTCCTCTGAGAATGCAGCTCTTGTGAAGGTCTGGTCTGTGGGGTTTCAAGTAGGAAAAACTCTTGAATTCCTGTCTGTCTAATTTGAGTAGGACTCCCCTTACGAAAAATAAGTTTATTCAAGTGTGCTATTAGTATACTTCTTTTAAACTAAAAAATAGGAAAGTATACGTTCAGTCTAATTTTATGTACTTCTCAGACATGGACTTTATGTACTTCTCATAAATATACTTAAAATGACATTTAAGTATACTTGACTCATACTTAGAAAAAGTCTAAATCTATTTGAGCTATACTTGTGTTCCTAGAATCCGTGTTTTCATTGTTACACTGTAGGGGGCGCTAGTACACATCTTCTGTATAGAATTTCCAAAACACAAGAGAAGAAAAAAACGAAACAACAGATGCTTCCACATGTATTCTAACACGATCATCAGACATAAAACAGCATCAAAACTGTGTAAAGTTATGGAATAAAATGTTGACCCATGAAGAGGTAATAATGACTGTCAAGCTTTGGGGTGTTGATCGACTCCATCTATGTTTTGATTATCATTCTAAATCCAATTAATAGTCATTTTTCAGCTTTTTGTTCAAAATCTTGTTAATTTCTTTATTTTTTTATTTTTATTTTTTTATAAAACTTACCCACATTCAAGTGTTTAAAAAAAGAATGCATGAAGCTAGAATAAAATGTTTTGTATGTTCAGATATTCATAACAAAATATATACAAATTAATACCTAATAGGGACGTAGTAGTATACTTAAAGTATGATGTAAAGTTCACTTAAAGAAAACTTATGTAACGAATCAGCTCATGGGAAATATGAATGATTAATCATAACTAGTTATAATTAATTATGAATATTTTAGATCCACTTTAGATATTTAGCTGACCTCTCAGGGTCAACTGTCTGTCAATTCTAAGAACGTTAATTTCCCGGTTAAGGGAAATAACTTCCTTACTGTACAATTCTACAAAAGCTTGTAGCATAAATCTGCATGATTAAGGGACTCCAGTTATGAGCAAAACAATGAACCACGTCAAGTGTGATACAAGTAAGGTTTTATTAACTACATACACACTTAAACTAGTCTAACACACTACATAAACACATTAAGCCGGTCTAACATACACATAAACACATAAACTGGTCTAACATATACATACACACACACACAGTTTGTATAGGAAAGGGTTAAAGCTTAACCCTTTAAAGAGAAGAGAAATAAGAACATGAAGTTATTGAACCATTTGCATATTCAGCAGATTTACACCTGAGGGAAACATCAGATTCTTAGTTCAAACACACCTTTGTAAAAAGGTGCCAATGATACCTCATGTATCAATTAATAAGGCTAAGTTTGATACTTGCATGTCTCATCTGTCTGAAAGAGAGGTTTGATGTAATCTGAAGTTTCCAGTTGATCTTTGCTGAATTTGGGTCGATGAAAAGAACCAGTTTTGAGTCAGAGAATCTTGATTAATGGAAAGGTCGAGGCCGAAGGCCTGGCACAAGACTTAGGATGTCCTGGAGTGCGTTTTTCTCACATCCTCTCAGAATTCCAACAAACCACCGACTCCTGGGTGGGTTCCTGGAGCGGGGCCTTTATGATCTCGGAAGAGTCACGCCTCTCAAGATGGGCTTGTCCAATGAGGAAGTCCGCAAATATAAAGTGGGAGTTCTGAGATACTGGTGACAATAATATACACAATGACCTGAAGTACACACTGTTCATTCAAAGAAAGGTTTTCCTATGAATTAATTAGTAGAAAAGTCCATTTCTACTGTGCATTTGCCTCTTGCTGTGGAACATGCATTGATTTTCCCTGCTCACATTCCATGAGGTCATAAATGCATCTGGTGTCAGGGTTGCCATGGTTTGGTGTCGTTGCAGACATCCTGGCATCCAGTTTATTGGGTGAGGGGACTGTGACGATTTGTTAATCTAATGAAGAACTGATTTGTTAAATCAAATGAAAAATTGTGTGTTTGATTGGTCCAGACGCCACACTTATGAGTATACTTGCAGTATAAAACTACTAAACTAGTAGTTTACTGAGACTATACTTCAAAGTGTACTAAAATGCTACTACAAGTATTTAATTAGTAAACTATCAGTATACCTATAAGTTAACTTTTAGTATAGTTGCAGTACAAACTAAAAACATAGATGTAAACTAGTTGTGTACTCAAAGTTTACTACTGTTATACTAAAAGTATGCTTAAAAGTATACTTTTATATACTAGAAAGTGGGCCAATTTAGTCCCAAGGAGTATTGAAATAGTACACTTACAAGTATACTACTAGTACACTGATATTTGTATACTTGCTACATAAAGTATACTTAAAAATATACTTGGACTTTACTTAAGTATACTTAATAAAATAAACTTGAAGTATACTACTTTTTGGTAAGGGTCATTTATAAGATGATTTGTTGTCAGATGCTGATGCTCAGGGAAATAATGAACCAAGGCTATGATATTGTGGATATGATATTGCTGGCAGTTATCTAGATAACAAGAACTAAAAGTGTTCAGCAAAAATGTGTAAGTATAAATAAAGAAATGTTTTAGACATAAAATCCCTTAAAGGCCACTTAAAAATAAATTTATTTCTTTATGTTGAAATTCTGTAAACAAATTGTGTTTTCTGATAAAGACTTATTGAACTTAACTGAGAGAAAAACATTATTTATATATGGAACTGATGTACATGATTTTATCATGTGAATTCAAGCATTTTGTTCAGCGCACAACATAATTCTTCATTATGGACTTGGGTGGTTTCTTGAATAGAGCACAGTTCAGGTTACTTCTGTTTCCAGAGCTTTTCAAAGTGAACACAGTTTCACACCAGAGATCGTTCTGCTGTTTTCTTGTCTTGACAGCAGTGACTTTAAACTTCTCATATGGAGGAATCAGCACCTCTTTCTCATGAGGAAGCTTAGAGTATTTTGACACATCAGCACCTGTACAAGTGTCGATTTCAAAACAAGACACATTTCCAAAAACCTGTGCTTTTTTACGATCAAGAGAGGATGAAGCAAATGAGCCAAATCGAACCTCTTTGTTCAGAACACGCTTATTAAATTCAGCTTTGGTACCACGAAAAGTTGAATAACATTTTGTTTGTGTTTTCTTCAGAATCTGTATCGCTTCTGTTAACAGAAAGTGAAGTGAATACCATTTGTATCTCATTTGTTTGTACTTTTTTTTACCGGAACGAGTTTCAGGATTAAAAAGCTTATATACATTACTATCACTGTACACATAAATAGCAATTAAATGATTCTTCGTCAGGTTATCATTTTGGGTCTTGACAAAGTCTTCCCCTTTTTTCCAAGCAATTTTAAAATCAACTGAGTTTTTGATTTCCTTCTTTAGATATTTTGTCTTCACCAGATTTGCCATTTTCTCTCTACAGCCATCATATTGGTCATCAACTGAATTCGGTGTCATATCCAGTGGACATTTCTTTTCAACAGCAGCAGCAGCTCTGTGATCCTGCAGCAATCACAATGATCAATCATCAGTATTCATGTCTGTAATATTCATACTAGAACACAAGCTTACCTGTCCTAGAGCAGCTGAAATGAGAAGAAGAGCTTCAATGATCAGCAGCATCTTGATTCAGTCAAATCCCTCAGATGATCTAGTGAAGAGCAGATGATGAAAGACAACCAGAAACACAAAAGCTTTTTCTCAAATACGAAACCAGTGACACTAATTATAATAGAAAGCAATATGAACATCGACCTTTTATGTGAACACCAAACTTACCTGAGAATATTGTTCTCTCTTGTTGTCAGATTATGTTTTCCTTTTTGTTATTTTTCAGGAGTTCAGCAGCAACAGCGAGAGGAGAAGATCAACAACAACTCTTCAAACCAGGAGATGAGGAAAGTGGCTGTTTTATATACCTGATAATATGTGTGTGTGTGTGTGTGCTAAGAAATAATAGTGTGATTGTGATGCATCTAGCTCATCTAAATGGTTTAGATCATTAGCACTTGTGAAGATCTGGTGTTTGTGTGGTTTCACACCGGACAAACTCTTGAGTTCCTGTCTGTCTAACATGAATGCTAGATTATTTTCAAAATGATCTCCTCAAAATATGTAATAATGGTACATGATGGACATTGTTGATGAAAATGTATATGTCTGCAGGATGTCCCATCCCTTCTCCAACCACTAAACCCCTTTCTAATTCAAAAGAAATAAACATAAACAAAATGTACATTTATGAATGAACCAACTCATATTTAATGCAAGTTCACAGACAGAACAGTTAAGACACGTATCAGTATGTTTTTATAGACACTAAAATTCTATCACTAATACTACTGAAATTAATATTTTCCATTTATCTGCTAGATAGCAACATTTTTAAGTGTAATGGGATGAACACTTATGAAGAGACTCATCATTGCACAGGTCTGAGTTACTGTAATAGAGCCACCCACAACAAAACCAGCTTCTGCACAATGCAAAACACAAAAACTCCAACATGACAGAAACTCTTCTCAGACTCAACCATGACTAATGAAAAAGGAAAAATGAAAAAAGTAAAATTTATATTTTAAAAAATCCTTTGAAAAAACATAACATTCCAAATGAATCAAATACTTTTAGCAGTTAGTGTGCTATTGCTAGCATTTAGCTAAATAGCAAGCACTAAAATTGTTCAGTGACATGATACAAAAAAAGATTTGTGTAAATGAAGTAATAAATTACAAACACATATAAAATGACTCTGAGGCCACTCAATTGGGTCACTTGAAAATAACTTTATTTTTTTTGTTGTTGAAATTATGCAAACAAATCATGTTTTCTGTTCAAATTGTTTTTTTGACAAGGAATTGTTGAGCTAAACCAAAAGGGACAAATGTTGGAATTGGTGTACTATAAATTCATAAATTCAAAGCTCTTTGTTCAGAAGGCCTACTTTCATTGCCAGTCTTAGTATTGTGTTATGGTCTTGGGTGGTTTCTTGAATAGAGCACAGTTCAGGTCACTTCTGTTTCCAGAGCTTTTCAAAGTGTACACAGTGTCACACCAGAGATCGTTCTGCTGTTTTCTTGTCTTGACAGCAGTGACTTGAAACGTCTCATAAGGAGGAATCAGCACCTCTTCCTCCTTGTCATGCTTAGAATATTTTGTCAGATTTGCACCTTTACAAGTGTAGATTACAAAACAAGATTTATTTCCAAAAAATTTTGTTTTGGTATGATTAAAAGAGGAAGAAGCAAATGAGCCAAAACGAACCTCTTTGTTTAGAACACTTTCATTAAAATTAACATTTGTACCATGATAAGTTAACATGCATCCTTTTTGTGTTTTCTTCAGAATCTGTACCGCATCTGTTAACAAAAAGTGAAGTGAATACCATGTGAATTTCTTGTTTTGGTATTTTTTCTTTTCATTATGAACAGCATTATTGAAATCCTTATAAATCTCAAATTTAGAGTTAGTGTACACATAGATAGCGATTGAATGATTCTTTGTCAAGTTATCTCCGGGTGGCTTGTAATTCTTTTCAGCATGTTTCCAAGCATTTGCAAAATTAGATTGCATTTCCTTTTCGAGATATTTGGTCTTCACCAGATTCGCCATTTCCTTTGTACAGCCGTCATAATTGTCATCAACAGAATTCTGTGCCATATCCAGTGGAAATATATTTCTTGCAGCAGCAGCTCTGTAATCCTGCAGCAACAGGAATTATAATGATCAATCGTCAGTATTCAGGTATGTAATATTCATACTAGAACACAAGCTTACCTGTCCTAGAGCAGCTGAAATGAGAAGAAGAGCTTCAATGATCAGCAGCATCTTGACTCAGTCGAATCCCTCAGATGATTTATTAAAAAATTGTGAAGCGCAGATGCTGAAAGACAAAAAACACAAAATTGTCTCACAAATACTAAATCTGTACCTTGAAATATAATGGAAAGAAATGTTTACTTAGATTTGTACAATTAAAATGTTCACCAATCTCTTACAGTTTTTTTTTTTAATTGCTTTGGCGCAATTGGTACATTTTCAAAACTCTTTGTACTAATATCACAACAGATCATCAAAAGTGCACTTTTTTCAAACATTTCAGCATATTTTCAATTGTGTTATTACAATACACACAATCACAAAATATCATTTTCACTACACAAAATAAGTGTTTCATCTATATAAATGTTTCATTCTCATTAACTGCCTTTCATAAAGCTATTACTATCAAACTTTTCATTAGCATGACTTCTCATTCAGTTTAATACATCTGTCTATTATTTAATCTAACTCATCTTAATGGTTAATCAGTGAATCATATGGTGCATCTATAGATATAGATTCAATAGATATTTAGTTTCTATAGAACGTGATTGTAATTTAGGGATAACCAAATGCACTGAATTATTTTTACACTAAAAGTGATTTATCTAAGATAACCACTATTTTGTAAGGGTGTGTGTGTGTGGTTCAGGTAAACCCTATTTAATGGGGACAAAATGTCACAAATCCCACAAAGACGGCAATTGTCATTTTTAAGGGTCCAATGAGAAATAAATACATTTTTGTAAGGGTAGGTTTAGGAGTAGGATTAGTGTAGGGGGAGACAGTATAAAACCCGTTACTCCTATGAAATGTAACCATAATGATAAGAAAACCTGTGTGTGTGCGTGTGTGTGTGTGTGTGTGTGTGTGTGTACCTACTTACAGTAACCATATTTTGGGGACAAATTGGTACCCAGAAGTAAGCAAAACTTGAGAAAATCACCCAAAACCTTCCTTTGAGGACGTCCTCATTTCTAAAACCGTGTGTTTTGCTATTCGTGAACATACAGCAGGACACATGGGAGAGGATCTGATCAGAGATTGATCAGAGATGTATCAGAAGAAGGGAGACAGATGTCATCAAATACAGCATTTTGCATTACATTATGCCATGTGATACTGTATATAGAAGCATTACCACGGTAAAGACTGCACATTACTATAACTCACCCTTCATCTGAAAAATTCAGCTAGAATATTCAGTCATGTGGCACAGTGAGGACTCTGTTCTAGCACAAAACCTTATGGCCTCCTTGTCATACCTTCATCACACCTTTTGATAACACACTGGATAAATACTTTTACAAACATTATTGATTTTATGTGAGATTTGCAAGTTAGGTCATGTAAGTGTATTTTCTAACATGACAGTTATTGCCTGTGTTACTGTAATTATTTCAGCAACAAAGGTGATTTGAAACATTAATCTTGGATTGTTTGCTCTTGAATGAACCCATTGTTAAAAGTACTAAATTGAAAGAAGATCATACTGTTGTGTTTTGGTGATTAATTCAAATGTTCTCAATACATATCACAATGATCTTGTGTTTTGAAACAATGATTATGTGGAATGAAAATATGCGCAACTACAATGAAATCATGAGATCAGGTTTTGAGAGAATGATTAGTGGTGTTACAAGTGTGATCAGTTTAAAGTTTTGTATAAGAGTTTTGAAAATGTACACCTTGCTTGTGAAAATAGTACCAAACCAATTAAAAAAAAAAACTGTAATACAGGTTTAAATTAATAAATTCAATTTTTTTTCTGACAGATTGCAGAAGTTTTTCAAGAGAAAAAAATTACTTAAACCTGTGATGTTCACTCATATATTGACCTTTTATTTTAAACCCAAACTTACCTGAAAATACTGTTGTCTCTTTTTGTCAGATTCTGCGTTGTCTTTTCAATGTTTTTCAGCAGCTCAGGAGCAACAACAACATGAGAAGATCAGATTCAGAAGTTCATAGCCAGACGACAATGACTCTTCAAACTAAGGGATGAGAAAGGTGCCTTTTTATATCACTGAACATCTACGTTAATAGCGTGATTGTGATGCATCTAGGCCATCTAAATGGTTTCTTCTGATTATCACTTGTGACGATCTGGTTTATATGTGTGGTTTCAAAATCTTGAGTTCATGAATGTCAGATTGTTATCAACATCTGATATATACCTCCCCATTTAAATTTAAATAGTCTTGGCAAGAAGGAGATTTAATTGCTATACATGGGTGCACTAACTAGTGTCCACTGAAACCCTCTGCTTTTTGCAATTTTCAGATTTGTGGAACCTCAAAGCTAATTTTCACATTCAGAAACCTATTTCACTGTGAGATCAGTATAGAGCTGAATTAGTCTTGTTGCATTGAGCCCATCAGATAATGCAACACTTGTGAGGGCCTGTGGTTTCATGTAGGACAAACTCTCAGTTCCTCAAGATGAGTAATATGGGCCCCATGCATGTTTATTTCAAAAGCTTATACTCAAAAAAAAATAAGTTTTAATTAATTAAGAATTAAAGAGTTTAATTAAATTAAGAAAAGATTTCCCCACATAATTAAAGTTCATAAAAGAACTAAGTGAAGTGAAGTGTGGCCAAGTATGGTGGCCCATACTCGGAATTTGTGCTCTGATTTTAACCTATCCAAGTGCACACACACACACACAGCAGTGAGTAGTGAACACACAGCAGTGGGCAGCCATGTTGCCGCGGCACCCAGGGAGCAGTTGTCTTGCTCAAGGATCTCACCTCAGTCGTGGTATTGAAGGTGGAAGAGAGCACTGGTTATTCACTCCCC